ACTAATCCAACAAAACCAAATAGTTTTAAATATCTCCGAAGAACGGTTTCCCAGTTTCTACACTTGGTTAATGAACATTAAATCATACATCACATGTGAAGAAAATAAAGAATGTCACTGAAGACTTGAGAAGAAATAGACAAGTATATATGACGAACAAACCACCAAATCAGAGACTTTCGTTAAAAATAATAATAACAATCAAGAAAACATGAAAACAGTTAAAAAGTAACAGTAGAAAATGACTTCCCAATCTCGACTTCCTCTTTGAACCTACAAACCAAAGACAACTGAACTTTCCAACCGAGTGTGTTTAAACACGTTGTCTTCTCTTAAACAAACTCTTCATTCTATTCGATGGTATTGTTTCTATGAAAATAGAAAAACGACTAAAACCCAGGAAAATATCATAAACTCAACCTCCACTACAACCAACATTGAAACTGATAACATTGATTCCATTTATGAGATTTATTCAACTACTTAAGCTTTGTACTGTTAGTTTCGGTTTTTGTTTTAGTAAACGCTCCTAAAGAAGCTGTAAAGCGAAACGTTGAGTGTTTAATTAAATAAAAACGACATTTTGGTGTTATAAGGTCGTTTATTTCTAGTATTAATAGGTCTTCTATACACCACAGAAATTAAATAACTTCTAACATATAGTGAAGCCATTTCGTTTTGGTAACATTACGTTCCAACAATGGCTTTTATGTCATGTTGCTTATCAACAAAAGTATAATATAAATATTGTTGTTAGTCTTTGTGCTGAAAATATAAAATGAAACAAAACTAGAAACAATATTTGTTGATTTCTTAATTTAGAGTCTCCTTTGATTAAAGAGAAAATAGCTTAATTCAGAAACGATTTAAGTTTAAAACTAAATCGATATTTTTACTTTATGCACTTGGCTCTAGGCTAAGTGATCCCACACTACCCCTGTACTTTAGGCTTATTATACCAACACTCACTACACTTATAAGGTTTCACGGCACATACACACCCTCACGGCCCCCTTGCACTCCCGTAAAAAAATCATAATGAGCAGACAGTGGAACCATTCTATCTGGATAAATGCATTTTGGTTTTCATGACTCCTATTTCGAGAAATCAAGCGTGACGTGACACACACTGGCTTTTATGTGGGTTAGATGGAAAGTTATGTACATTGAGATACGCGTATACTTCTTGATGGAGGGCTAGGCAAAAAAAAAAGATATGTATCACTCTTCAGAGATCTTTGGGAACTATCACTTGTATTTATACCAACAAACCTTTGTATGAATGGTCGAGAAAAAGTATCGGTGGCAGATTTTTCTTTTTTGTAGATAAACGCTCTCATGATACTATCAACTATATAATTTGCTGTGAGTTTTTCGTGAGATTCTGGGTATTAGAGAGGTTTCCACTGAATGACGAGCCAGTAAAACCTACAACGTGAGAGCCCCCATAGGTGGGAGAAGAAAGGGAATATTTGTTCGCTATACATCGATCACATGACATGTGAGGACATTGTGCCATTTGTTCAACTCCATAGACGAGTAGGTAAGGCGTGTAGTACTTACTGTCCCTTGTCACCGACACCTTTGGGCTGGATGAGAGACAAACATTGGTTTTAAGCTATAATAGATGTTGACCCTGAATGGGAATATTCTCTTTTACAAGCTGTGAGGGGAGGAGACCTTAACACCTCAGCTATCATTATCCTCTATGGTCACTCACTAATCCCCGGAATGGACCCATTTCTCGGCTTGTTGGTAGTATCTTTCCCCTTTCTCGCCTCTTATTCTGCAGACAATGACAGCTGGCCACCTCACTATATATTTAGCACCCCACCACTTCTTCTCCGCAGTAATCGGTTTCACTATATCTGGCATAACAAATACTCCCCAACACTAGACTGCTCCCAGTGTGTGTTATTATTCTCACGCTCTCCGGGCCTTATCCAACGTGATCCGATCTTTTTACTAACGCAGCCAGTGTGATGCTGCTTTCTTCAAAAAGCAGCCAACTCTATACTGTCTCCATCGCAATTTTATTTTGATGTTTAGTAGATCATTACCCTAATCCGTTAAGCTGTACACACGTAGAACAACAAAATAAACGATTTCCTCAATATGTGCACAAAAATATAATTTATGTACAAAGTATCTATATAAATATAATTGTGCTGTTTGTTGTATGTCCATTTAACTACTTCGCAGAGTGTGGATGGATTCTTACCAAATTGGTATGGAGGTTCATTAGATCCATACAGGGGTAGATACAAATTTTCAGTTTTGCATTTTGCGGTTTTATGGGCGTTTTTGGATTTTTTACAACTACTTCGCCCCCCGTAAATAGATCTTCACCAAATTTTGATGGAGGTTCATTGGGTCCATGCGGGGATACATAAAAATTGCCAGTTTTGCGTTTGCGGTTTTTATGGCTGTTTTTACGTGACCCCACCTCCTCTGGATGGATCTTCATCAAATTTGGCATGAGGGTTTGTTGGGTCCATGCGGCGATACATGGATATTTTCGATTTCACATTTTCTGTTTTGCAGTTTTTACATTTTCTTTTTACAATTACATGTAAGGGAAGCAACTTTTCATGTCCTAAGTTAACCTCTCAGTTATCATGAATTTACACAATTTCCGTCTAGGAGACTGATACTCCAGCTATTAGACTAATAATTTGCATTAATTGAATACAAATAAAGGTCTATGGGTATATAAAAACCCATGATTCTTAATCCAAAACAGTCAATAAAGTTTCAAAAGAGACAGATAGTTTATTTTATGTCAAATACTATGACACACACATATATATCTTTGTTTACATTTCAAGCCATTACCTATACTCATTGTTACTTACTTTATGACAATTTTAATAGTTACTGCTAGCGAAATTTCAAGGAAATCAATGAAGTTTGTTTACTTATGAAGAGCTCGTAAACAGTTTCCAAATCTCCAGTTTTTAGATCCTGAAAATATACATTCATGTTGTACTATTATTCACATAATCTTCACTAAGTCAGTTGCCCAGTTTCAACATCCTGGAAATACACATTCATGTTGTGATGCTATTTAGTTATTGGATGTTTGATGCAATCAGTTTTCGTGGTTCATATGAAACTCAGTACGAAAGAAATGACAGTTAGTTACTGTCATCTACAGCTTTTAAGAAGACATAGTATTCTTTAGTGATTCAGTTGTTAGACTAAATTCGAAGAAAGTATCGTAAGTGTTATAGGGTTATTTTTCATCGCATGAATCATGTTTAGTTTGTGCGTCTAAGAACAGATGAACACATATTTTCAAGTAAGATTTAATAATTAAATGACCATGCAGAGTTAAATTTCGCTACTGGATTTTGCTACTCTTTACTTGCAATAAAACCTTAATAATTTAAAGTACTTTGACAATTTTTATATGTAATAGAGGTTTAGGTACAAGAGTCAATAGCGTTGTTTATTGGTGAGTGATCACAAACATTAATAAATGGACACAATAATCATCTATGTTATAAAATTAGAACAAAAGCCAACGATTAAACTAGAAGTAACCATATAAGAACTAAACACTTATGTATTAGATTTAACAGTTTCCTAATATAGTGTTTAGGTGCTGTTAAAAAGCAAATTTGAAGTTATAAATTGTTTCTCATATATTTTTTGTATTGATCAGATTTATCAGTGAAGTCTTATTATCATGCTTCATCAAAAGAAATGGTGGAACCAGTGCAGACTTTGTACAAGACAGTTATTTTTTTCTGAGATTATTATACACAGTTGTTACAAGGTTTATTTCTATTTAGCATCTTTAAGTAATTTAACATAAAAGTGGTGTACAAGACATATTAACAATTAGTAAGAAATAATTAGCTAAAACACTTGCATTGGAGTAGTTTCTGTTTATAGTCAACAGATGGCGCTAAACAAGGTGGATAGCTATTGTATTAGCGGAATTAATTTGTGATGTTCTAACAATACCTCTATAACAACTTCACCATTTTAGTTGAAGTTTTACAAATCGGTTTATAAAAGTATACGAACATGAACGTTCTTAGAAAGACCTTATCATTGTTTAGAATTATTAATATCATATAACTCCGTTCACTGAATTCATAGCAAATTTTAAAAATCATGCAGACGTATTGGATGACGAGGAACCCACTTTGAGACTAATAATGGTTGGAGACATATTGTTCTCTCAGAATATTCATTTAGTTACTTATATACAAATAGTTAGTAAACGTGATATGTTTGAGCCAATCGATTCTACATACAGTCAATAAATATTTATCAATTCAGCATTATCGAAGAATATGTAAACGACTAGAACTAACTCTCTATTATGTGTTTTTGTTCATATATGAGAAGAGACCTTTTATTTAGACTTTCTTGATACGACCCACTTGTTATTCAGAACTTGACTTTTGATAACATTGGATAATTTTTTAAAGAGCTGAAATAGACATAACGACAAAGATGTTTCATTGGAGCTTCTTTGCGAACTATCATTCCTTTTCGAGTTGGATCATGTGAACAGTGACGTGAAATAACTTAAGTTACTTTGTAGCACTGAGACTGTGAACCTCTGAACTGCTGCCACGACCGCGTTTCTGAAATCTATCTGGTACTGGCTGCGCTCATCACTATTATGTGTGATTGGCATCTGTAACATTGATTGGCGTGGTCGCCATAGCAACTCAGCCAATGAGAATCTTCGTTTATTATCGTAAGCGAAAACGCCAGCAAATGAACTCTCTATTTAGCAGTGCACCTCCTGATCAAATGTGACACCTATCTATAGCGCCAGCTCCTCCCCTGTGTTTATCACTAATAATGTTGTTCTAAGCACGAGAACAAGCAATCGTAAAAGAGATCAGGATTCCCACCACTTCTCACTGAGGTAGGGGAGTCCAGCTCGAGAGCTATCGGACACTGACACTTTATTCCCTGTATGCAACTTGCGGAGGAGCCTGATCTGTAGTGTGATCCTTCAACTCTTGTAGCGAATGGCGCTGGGCATGGGGCCTGCCGCCGTCCCCTTGTCGGGCTACAGCCCCATGTTTATCCTCCCCACCCTGAACTTCACCGTGGGCCAGGTGGCCGCTGTATGTGAGACGCTTGAAGAAAGTGGAGACATTGAACGGTTGGGCCGTTTCCTGTGGTCGCTACCTGTCGCTCACCCTAATTGTGCGGACTTAAACAAGAATGAAGCCGTTCTCCGAGCCCGGGCGCTCGTATCTTTCCACACGGGCAACTTCCGTGAGCTGTATCACATTCTGGAGAATCATCGTTTCTCCAAGCATTCCCATGCCAAGCTGCAGGCCATGTGGCTCGAGGCCCATTACCACGAGGCCGAGAAACTCCGTGGCCGGCCACTAGGTCCAGTAGACAAATATCGGGTTCGGAAGAAGTTTCCCTTACCTCGGACCATCTGGGACGGAGAACAGAAGACTCATTGTTTCAAGGAGCGCACAAGAAGCCTTCTACGAGAATGGTACTTACAAGATCCCTACCCAAACCCGACTAAAAAGCGCGAACTAGCGCAAGCAACTGGTCTCACTCCGACCCAGGTGGGAAACTGGTTCAAGAACCGCCGGCAAAGGGACCGTGCTGCCGCCGCCAAGAACAGGTGAGCTTCGTCGAAACCTGACATATATGACCATTTATTAATGTTCATTATTAAACTGTCTTTAGTATAATTTTTACTTTTTTATATTAATACCGAAGGGTCTGTGAAACTAACACTTCCTTCTTACAGAAGTAACATGTCATACGAATCACCGTTATGTCTAAAATATGTTTCTGAATTATATGAGATTTTATGGCACTTTAATAACCGCGCATCCAATGATACATAATTGAAGAATTCTAGTTAAAACACGTTACCTATAAATAAGTAAATATTCTATAAAAAAAATAATAGCTTTATAGTACCATATTATAGCATCATAACAGTTATTTAAAAAGGGAAAATGTTACGGATTTCCAATGTAGATAGTGAAGCAATTCTGAAACGTTGGAGTTATTAATAAAATTGTTTGGATTAACCAGAGGTTTCCACACTTCTCAAATAATGCAGTGAGGAACTAACGGATCCACTTAGCCAATCCAGTCTTTTGAAAATTTACATTTAGTGAAGATACAAATGATATAATACACAATAATTTTTGAGTGTATCCTAAAAATTCCTTTCTTCATTTTTGCAGTAATTAATGTTTATGTTTCCTATATTAATCTAATATTGTATATATAAAGGTAATACATAGACCTATGAGTTTACTGTAGATTATATTCGAAACTCTTTACAATACATTACTTTCGGCCCAGAGATTGTTAATTTTGCATTATCTTAATCTAATATTTATGAACTTGATAACGTACAAGTAAGCATAACTTATAGCTTTTATGTTTTAGTGATTTTAGACGCGTCACAAAAATAGTCTTTGGCTGCTGTATATCTGGATAATAAGATATCTAACACTTTATAGTGTTAATCATGTAACGAAAAATATTGGGCGCTGTCCACTTTCAACATTTTTTGTTATTGCTAAGAATTTCACTTCAAAGATATCGCATGACTCAGAAATACGTAAAGCTATTATAAAGTACATTTCAAAAACCAAAATGAACCTATGGATTTTATAGGCCTACATACATGTAAAGGGCATTAATTATTGTCATGTTTCCAATATCACAGTATCATATATATATTTGAAAATAAACAATATCAACAGAGTATATTGATCTTAGCTTTATCTGTTAAACTTCAGAAGTTTAACTTTCGTTGTCTATCGTGACTAGAATGAGCCACGGGGCTACACAATACCATTACTTACGTACAGAACCACCTGTTGACCGACCAAATAACCGTCGCTGAAATCACGTATCAAAGTTTGAAGCTTTAAATATATTTATTTGTGTAACTTAAGATTGTGCAGATGAACGAATGGGTAAAATGTTACACACGTCATGAATATATAAATGTTTGTTTTGCATATTCATGTTATATTTATTATATTTTATTTTTTCACGTGCACGTGGTAGCGTAATGAGACATTGTAATGTTGACCAAACTCGGAGGCTGTCACAATAAGCTCGCTAAATAAATGTTAAGTTCTTTTTATTGTCTTAGAGAACGTGTTGGTAACATTTGTTTAGTACGAAAATGGCGCCAAAATAGTGTGTTGTTAATGTGCAGCAGAATATTAAGATTAGACTTTGTTTCAAATATAAATATTATATTGAAATCCTTCTAGCATTATTAAAATCTACATTACAGAGCAGATTCAAACTAAACCTATCGTAATACTAGAAAGACCTGTTTAAATATTCAACAAAAATATGCTGTCTGTAGTATGTGAACTTTTCACGTATGGAAATGAGTTTAAATTTATTCAAATATATAAACAAAACATTGCTCATTTTTGCACTACACAGAATATAACACACATGAACAGAAATGATAACGGGAAAGTACATATTATTAACCAACTATATAAAGTTTATAGATATAAAAAACCTGAAAATACCTATCATAAATTAAATGCTACTACATTTTATGAGACTGTGTTGGAAGTTACATGTTTAGCTATTTTATACGCAGACTTGTTGTATTGCCGCTTAAATGGTATATATATATATATAGAGAGAGAGAGAGAGAGCGATGGCTTATGAATGCTGTACAATTCGACTACATCTTGTTCTGTTAAGGACTGTACCTGTGAGACTAAGATAGTACAACTTAATTACCATCTTAGGTTTATTTATATATTATTGCACGTATTTCTTTTGTGTTATTAATTATGTTCAACGTATATATATACATACAGAGAGAGATGGCTTATGAATGCTGTACAATTCGACTACATCTTGTTCTGTTAAGGACTGTAACCGTGAGAATAAGATAGTACAACTTAATTACCATCTTAGGTTTATTTATATATTATTGCACGTATTTATTTTGTGTTATTAATTATGTTCATATATATATATACATACAGAGAGAGAGAGATTCATGCACCTTAATCTATAGATAATGTAACAATTAGTTGTATTTTGTGAAGTTTCATATGACAAACCTGTAGTTTTATTTTGAAGTCACCTTTAAAGCCATCATTTTGGTTTCATTTGCGTTACTTAGCAGTTGTATTTATAGCATTACAACTTGCGGTAAATAGTTTGTTACTTGGTTTCTTGTAAAGGAATGTATATATACTTTTGCGTGTATAAGTCCTCTATAAAATGCTAATTGCCCGCACATGAATTTTAATAATTTTCAATGAAAACAGACTAGCCTTATTGGACTCAAAAAAAGTGCATGAAAAATAGAACGCATTTTTCACGAATGATAACAATAATGCGATGAATAACAAAGAACTTGAGCAGTAAATCGGCTCAAACTAAATTATTGTATACTTCTTATACGTTTTTTCCCATCTGTGTATTAAACAATATATAATCGTTACCATAAAATATCTGCAAGAAGCATAGAGAAAGCATTCCTCTTTGGTTCCATATATGATTTTGATATATGATCCATATATGATCATACACAATAAATTATTTAGGGACACGTCAAATATACAAAAAGAGATTTTTCGAGTCCACAGGATGCTGTGTTTTAAAGTTTTTACTTTTTCCCTTTTCTTTAATTTTTTTTTTCTATTTAAACACAAATGCAATATGTAGTCTCTCACACGAGTTGTTAATGCGTTTGTTTCTTTTTTCCATTGCTGCGTAATTATCATGTTTTTATATTCGGAAGGAGGCTTAGATCATAATCAAAAGGTTTATAAGCGTAATTATATACTATAGACTATTTTTTTAACCGAACATATCTAAGATCTTTTGTTAAAATCACTGCATAATTAACTAGACACAATTTAGAAAACAAAAATGTAATTGTGGTTAAAGGACATTGGGCAAAAAATGAAGTAACAGTTATTTTTAGCAGATGCTCTAATCTACAAATTTCCACGTTTCATATACAAGGGAACTTAACATCAAAATAAATGTAACCTCGATATATACATATGTTGAATGTAACATTATTCGGCTTATAGCCAATAGGTTTATATATATATATATATAATAAAAGCTGTAAAGTTTCATTATCGTGGTTTGATATTACGGCACAGGTTCTCACCATCATTTTTCATATGAAATAGCGCCTTTTACGAATCACTATTCTAGGTATGGCTCGCATGCAACCGCTCCGGACCGCGTTTTCAAGATGTGTCTAACTAGGCCTTTTTGTTCCGCCTGCAGTTTGCTGTATCGCGTGCAAGAAGCTGAGTTCGAGAGTCACGCTATGTAAAACCGTTTCCCGTCCTTATGAGAGACGAACTCTCCGATGAATATAGCCTATTACCTCATTCATGACATACTGACAAAGTATGGCTGTTAAAATAAGACTTTTATACACTGTTGTAGAATCTCATGCCAAATCAGACTTCTGTTGCACGTATACAAAACCACGACAGATAAGCATATATATACTTAGAATGAGCTTTAGAAGAGAAAGGCATTTTGATCAATTTATCTAAGCTTCGCGACTTAAATAACGCAACAATATGTTTTGGAAATATTTATTCGGAACAGGTTTAGCTGTATTATATACGTGAATAACCTCTACGTGCATATTAAGGTCAAACATTTCCGTTAACAGTTATATATATTATCTATTTAAAAAGTAAAGCTAAGAAAGTCATATTTTTAGCCGAAATGGAGTTTTATGAACAGAACTAGAAATATGTTTACGTCTTCATAAACAACAACTATCAGTTCAAATATTACCCACTAAGTATTTACGTCTTTGAAATGTAACTTTTGTATTTCACTTTTAGAACACTGTAAAGCCAAAAATAATGAGCAATCTTCTGTACATAAAAGAGAATCGTATGTCAAAATAAAAGCATTTTAACGAAGAATACGTTTATGGAGTGCTGACAAAGTAGTGTTTTAGTCTCGATTGAAAACGGTTCGGTAAACTTTGCATACTGCGATTTTTTACTATCACGTTCGTGGATTCCAACGTTATTACAATAGCTCATTGCAATGTGTATGAATCTGTATTTACGCGTACATTTTTATACTGTTCAATGTTTGAATATTATGGTATAGCTGTGTGATTGTGTTTATATTGTAACATAAGTATATGATTATGCATGTACATAGTGCGATATAACTGTGTGTTTTTATGTGTAATTTTTGTGTGAATATATTGTTGTATACAAGTATGGTTTTGTTTGTGTGAATTTTCGAGTACAACATAATTTTGTGTGTGTGTGTGTGTGTGTATTGTTCAGTTTGTTTTCCAAGCCATTAGTGTGAATGTTTCTGCTTTTGTTTGGTAGTTTCAGATTTCCTAAACGTTTAGTTTAATTAAAGTGTGGTAGAATTACTTCCGCACCTAGGATTGTGTTTAAACTTTCATGTATACACATACATACCTATAGACCTTGGGAATACATACATCAGATATATATGTAGCTTAAACCACGAAACTGGTGCATTATCTAAAGTTATCCACGTGAGAAAGTCTATCCAGTGAGAAAACTATGCTTTGTTGTGTTCAATTATTATTTATAAAACAAAATGGTTGAGCACCTGGAAAATTTCAGAAGAAAA